AAAGCAATGCAGTATTGCCATTTTTGCTCATTTTTTGGTTTTGCTGTCATGTTTGCAGATGAAATATTGGTATACAATTCATAATGACCCAGTTATGCATAGTTCTGTGCCCACATGACTGCTAGCAGGTGTCCTGCAGACCTCAGGGTACCACCTACCCCTTCCTGAGCACCTGGCTCTGTCCCCCAAGCATAGTAGGAGAGGAAGGGAGGAACCTGGCTGCCCCCAGAACATCCCTGCACTCCCTCTTTCCTCCCTTTCTCCTACCTCCTAGCCCTCCTGCTCTGCATTAGTGCTATTCCCATATGCCTTTCCTCACCATCTACTTAAATCCATGGCCTCCTTCATCTAAAAGGTCCAAATGCAACCTTTCTCCATCTTCCCCACTTCTCCTTGGCTCTCAAATCTCACAACCACCTGCTTCACTCAAGAAACCCAGTTTACAGGATTCCAAAATGGTTGGGATGCAGAACTCCTAGCTATGGGATGCTGCTCCTGTGGCTGGACACTGAGTGTCCACAGCGGAGGAAGGGACGAGAGGAGAGGCCCATGCGGAGACACAGCCTGGATGCCAGTCTTGGATGGGAGTGGAGAGGCTGGGGGAGGGAGGGGTGCCCTGCTCTGGACCTGGGGGAGCGGGTGCCTGTCATTCCCCGCTGGCTGGCACATCAGGAGCTGGGTCACACTCTGGCCTTATTTCCTGAACCCCCAAGATCAGTAGGCTAGCACCTCTTCAGTCTTTCTGTTGGACAATTTTATTTGCATTCCAACGGCCCTGTCCTTCCTGAGGGCAGCCAGTCTACATCGGGTCGGGGATCAGCCTTTCATAAAGTTTTTATATGTTGTGTGTGGTTTTCCCCTCCACCACCCCCTTTCCTTTTCTTTATTCTTTTTGAGCTCCACAATCCAGGGATTCCCCTTTTTGGAGCTATTTAAACAGGAGTGGGAGACCGGCAGGAGCAGCCTCAAAGGGACAGCTGGCTGTGAACCCACCTCCCCGCCCCTGTCCAGCTTTTAGCCTGGACCCACCTCTGTTTGAACTGGGTGTTGTTTCCGCGCTTCCGCGGAACTACTGTGTGTGTGGCTGTCCCTGCAGCTGCGCTGTCCCCACTCAGGTTCCCCAGGAAGGATTTCTTTAGTTTTTAATGAGTCTCCAGGTCTCTGAGGCCACGTGCTTCTGGAAGGCCCCGAACAGCCAGGCACAGCATGTGGCCAGCAGTGTGGCCACCTGGGCTCCTGCAGCCTGCTGGTCTGGGGGTTTGCACATTCACACCCTTGCCCCCAGCAGATCTTGCTCAGAGTGGGGGGATGGGGAGGGACTGGAGGCAAGGAGGCCAAGAAGCAAGGAATGTGGCCTCTGGAAGCTCAGGACCAATCCTCGCCTGCTGGGCCTGCTGAATATGTTGCTTGGGTTCACTGAGGGTTGAAACTGGTGAGCACAACCCTGCCCATGTGTGGTGACAGCCTCAGCCCAGAGGCTATTGGGAGGTAGGCTGATTAAAGTGTGTCTTGTGTAAGGGGTCGAGCAGACTTTGGCTTGGATTTGGTTCAAGAGCTTGGGCATTTTTCTTCATCTCTCTCAGCCTCAGTCTCCTCCTCTGTAACGCCAGGGGTCTCCACATGCAGGGTGCCGGGAGGTGACTATATGTGGGTTCCTGTGAGGACTAGATGAGTTGACACATGTCCATGTGTGTGGCCAGCAGATGGTCTCCACCTGACTGAGAAGTAACAGAGGCTGGCCCTGTCCTGTGCTGGGCCCCTGGGAGGTCCCGGGAGGGAGTTCACCACAGAGCAAAGGGACAGGAAGGCCCCGGGCTCTCCACACAGAGCCTCTGCTGAGGTGGTGCCTGAATCAGGATGGCAGGGGGAAGCCTGGGGCATTAAAGAGTTGTTTTCCATGGGAATGGGAGGTATAGAAAAGAAGTATTCTTCTGGTATAGTTCAAATTATGAATAAAAACCCAGTGTCTTTCATCTGTGGAACATGATTTTGCAAACACTAATTAGTTCCACAAACACCTTTGTGAGTTTGGCAGCTGCTGGCTCACAGGTGAGGAACAGATAGGGGGGTGAAGTAACTTGCCTGCAAGGCTGGGGGAGAGCCCCTCCTCATGCCTGGCAAATAGATATCGTCTCTCCTCCTGGCTGCAACTGCACAGTATTCGTTTCTTGTCTTGGTTTTGCTTAAGCAGAGGTTGATATGGAGCCCAGTGATTATTTTAAACTGTGCTTCCTCTGACTGACAGAACAGGGGAGGGAAGTGGCAGGGGAGGGAGGTGGCAGATAATTCATTCGTTAAGGGACAGTGTGTGACAGGCCAGTGGTGCTTCCTCTCAAGAGGTATGCAAAGCATCCCGGGTCATTCTTTATGTTATTACAGGTCACCGGCTGCCTCTGGTCCAGAGTGGTTTGTGATGGTGCCAGCAAAGTCAGGTCATGATGGGTCCCTGGTTGACAATGTGGAGCTTTAAGACTTTCCTGGCTTTGGCACGAGGGCCTCACTTTCATGCTTGTGTAGATCAGGGACCCAGCCTGTTAGATATGTCCAGGGGTGCTAAAAGCCACACTTTCAAGGTGAGCATCTGCTGAAGAGTGAAAAAGAATTGCATCAAGAAGACATGTGAATCTACCTTCTCTCCTCACCCACCTACCCTAGCCAAATACCTGATTCAGGACTTTGTAAGAGCTTTTGGAAAATCCATGCCAGACTTACAGGAAAAGCAGTCTGATATTTCTGTGCTATTTCTCGTTTCAAAAGCCTAAAGGGAAGTCCAAGCACGATGGCTATATCTACTCCAATTGTGTGTCTCTCCAGAGAGTCAAGACCTTGCTGTCTACGCCCTGAGTGAAAAGCTTCACACTAGTTCTCTCGGATGGGGGGTAAACAGTACAGATGTTTGCTGCTTTCCCATGCTGACTTGATTCTTCTGTCTTCTGGGATGTCCCATGCAGGGTGCTGCCTTATCTCATAGCTACTGTGGCATCCTTTGGGTATTTCAGTTTTAGGAAGTTATTCTAACTTACTTCATGTTGGTTACATAATTCATAAGTGGTTCCTTCTTCGTTGGGATTTTGCTGCTCCATTTCCAGAAACCTCCGGTAGTGTAACACCAGAGCACGTCAGGTCATCTGCTGGTGAGGATGTCTCTGAAGGCATGCAACTTCTGTAGTCACACACAGTCTCACGCTCGCATGGGCCCCAAGTTGGGATCTGAATGCTGTGCTGTTGCAATCTTGAAATTTTTGATAGTTTCATCTATGAATTTATTTCATCTATCTTGTAAGCAAAGTCCAACATCACGATGCATTGGAGGCTTTGAAGGCTTGACTCCCATGGTCCAGCCTACCGCTCCTCCGTGCCTGCCCTGCATGGGTTCTGCCACACACCACCTCGCACCCTGGACACCGGAATGATTAGCCTTAGGAGTGTGCTCCTGAGATATCAGGGCAGGGTGTGGTACTTCTGCGGCTCAGGGCAGCTCGCTGGCTGGCACCTCTGTGACATGTTCAGTGGGAGCTGGAAGGAGTTGTGCCTCTCCCCCGCCACGACTAAGCCACATACCTTGGGATTCCTGGCATGGAGGTGTGTAAGGCCCTGGGGGTCCACCTCTGGTTGGGGTGGCTGGTTTCCCAGGGAGGATGAAATACCTAAGTAGATTTCCCTGCACTCAGGTGGTCCCTGCATGCCCATCCAGCTGCTGGCTGGAGGGGAAACCCCTCCAGCAGGAGCCAGATGCCTGTCCCCTGGCTGGGTCTCCCTTTGCCCGAGTCCCCAGTGCCTGTGAGGAGCTGTGCCCATCTCTAAATGAGTGTCCCTCCTAAGAGGCAAAAACTTCTGTGTCTACACCCTGAGTGAAAGGAGAAAGTAGCCTTCCACCTGCACAGCGGGCTTTGCATGAGCCGTGCAAACCTCCTGCTACCCAAAAGGGAGAGACGACATAAATAACAAGTGAAAAGCATCATGACATACAAAACAATGTGAGTGTACTTTAAAAACCACCAAACTG